CTTGTGTCGCTGTCCGCTCTCTTACTCTCTGTTTACATTGCGCGCGCCTGCACGTGCTGTGGCGCTGCCGCTGTCCGCCGTTCTGCTGATTTGATTGCTGGCGAGGCGACGTTGGCAACGGTTTCTGTGCGCCCATCATTCGCTGCTCCTAACAGCACACAAATTGGGGCACAATTTCTGTTAACCCATTACAAGCGACGCGACCGCGACTCTGTCTGTGGGCTGTTGATTAACCCTCAACTAAAGACCAAAGAGAAATCGTAATTCCTTTGGAATAATTTTTATATTTGAATGCAAAAAAAAAACAAACAAAAAAAATAGCCTAAATTTTCAACAGCACCGCAGGCCGTCCGTAGTTGGATAAGCAGCAGCGGCGCAGCAATGAACCGTTTTGCCTGCGTTCATTCATTTGCACCCCACCACCACCCTCCCCGCCTCCTTTGCTCAGCCACTGAGCCAACTCGTGCGACCGACCATTCGGCTCGCTCTTCGGGCTCGTCTGTCGTGTCATCGTTGTCGGAAGGGGGCTAAAAATAAAACGGTATGGCATGTGTGTGTGTGCGAGCGATTTTTTTTTTGTGGGCAAAAGGCAATGAAAACGAAAATTTGCGTGACGTCTCTCGACCTTGACTCATCGACGTGAACTTAAACCATGGTAGAATTATTCAGAGGGTACGACCATACCGCTTTTCGATGGCCTAAGTTGGTGTTTCCACCCTTCTCTCTGTCGCTCTTCACGTAACAAATGTGAGCGCAAGGTATGCCTCTATTAGGTGGGGAAAACTCAACAAACATCACATCCCGTCAGGGGAGCAAATAATTGCATAATAATGTAATGGTCTGGGTAAGAAACACGAATGAGAGGGTCACTCGTCGAGTTGGCCGTACCTTGAATAATTCTACCATGTATTAAACAATGTTTTGTGTGTTTGTGTGTGTAGGTTGCAATGTTGCCAGATGGGGTTTGATACCGAGGTTCGGTGTTCGGTTGGGTTTGGTGTCTTGGTTCGACGGCTGTTTGAAGTCAACGTCTTTTAGGGGATAACCAGTTTTTACACACACACACACACACACACACAGATATGCAGGCAGTTGCAGATGCAGAATTGCAAGTGTGTATCGATGTGTTATCAACAAATTTTGGCAAAGTTAAAAAAAAAACAGGTTCGCTTTTAGCACCAACAGCAGCTCCTCGTCCCCTGGCCCCCCTCCGGGAGAGGGAAAGAGAGAGCGAAATACTGCTGCACCATTGGAATGCATCTCTCTCCCTCGCCCTCTCTTTTTGTGGAACTTGCAATAAGAAATGCATGCGTAATGCCACACCCTCGCACATCCCCCCTTACCCGTACTTCGCCCTTATACACAAGCACTCGCACCCGCACCCGGCCGCCCCCTTCCCTTCTGCCCTCACTCTTTTTCAAACTTCACCCACATCATACGCCATGGGCGCTCTTCGTTTCTCATTTCGTTTCTCTTTTTCGCATGCTTTGGCATTCGCCCATCTCCATTTCCACCTCCCATCTCCTTTTCCCGCTCTCACCCACTCGAGAGGCTGCTGCAACATAATCATCATCATAGATTTATCTCATTCACGCGCACGTGAGATGCGGACAAGTCGAAGCGAAGCAAAGCGACCGAACCGAACCGAAGCAGAGCGACCAGCCAAGGCCCAAAAATTAAGTCGTCGTCGTTTGTCGCACTGCCCTGCCCCCTGCTGCCCCTCTCCCTAGCTTTGTCCTCTCCCACACTCTTTGCTCTAGCCAGCTCTCCGATTCTCCCCACTCACTCTCGTTTATACTCTGCTGGCTGTGCTCCCATTCCCCCTCCTCTCCTTAGGCTGTTATCCCATATCCCCTCCTCTTACTACCATTTGCGGCTTGTTATACCCTTTGCCACAGAGAAGGTATTATAATTTCAAACAGATGCTTGCAACGCAAAAACAGAAGCATCTGATGTGAGGCGCCAATAAGGCATCTCGCTTTAGCTTTGTTTATCGGGTATCGAGTTACCCAAAATAAACATTAACAGCCGATTGTTTGGTCTAGACTCTAGAGTCTAGACTCGCGATTTTAAACTAAACAGCTGTTCAGCAATAATATTCAAAACGATAATAGTGTCAGCCAATATCAATCTTTCATAGCCATGTGGGAAGAATTATACAATTTTCTAAATTTGAATTATAAGGGAAAGTCCTTTATTAGGGCAATGAAACATAGCTACAATATACAATACATTCAATACAAAAAAGTCGCATGCAAATTTCTAAATATCAATTTAATTCAAGGTATTTTTAGAGAAGAAAAATTATCGTATTATAAATTATCATCATGAAACAAATAAAAGAAAACCTATTTGAGAGTGTGTACGAATAATTTTTGTGCCGAGTGTATTGAAACTGCTTCTCCTTGTTTTCCCCCACCATTTAAAATGGAATTCCTTTTGATTTCTTGTTGTTTTTGCACTGCTGCTGCCTGGCTGGCTGGCCGCGCTGTCGGCGTAAACGTTAGCGTCAGCTTCAGTGTCGATGCTCGCGAATTGACAAAGACGAGACGCCGGCTGGCAACTCTGCCAGCAGCACGCAGCAGCTGCTGCTGCTTGTTGGAAGTTGGACAGGAGAAGCGAAGCGGCCGCAGCAGCGCAGTGCTGCCGCCATGCGACGCAGCGCAGCGGGAAGCAGCAACTACAAATACGAATAGTTGTTGTAGTTTGCTTTCGCTGTTGTTTTTGGTTGGGCGCGCGCGCGGAAGTCGCAGCGAAAATATTTATCAAAAGCGTCAGAGCAACAAGAAGAAGAAGAAGCAGGAGAGAAAGAGGCAAACGACAAGAAGAAGCAGTACCAGTGGCAGTGTCAGAAGAGCGAAACGAAACGAACCGAAGCAACGGCGGCGGTTGTTGTCAATCGGATTAATTTTTATTGTACTTTTCTTTAGGTGCCTGCCTGTGTTTTTTTTTTTAAGTTTCGTTGTCGGTTTTTGCAAATGAGCGAAAAGTGCTCGTGTACGTACTCTTGCTTGTGCTCTCCGTGTAGTTTGGCTTCGGCTCGGTTCGGCTCTCTCACACTCATTCGTTCGTTTGTTGCCTAACGACAAAAACTGCTCTTTTGCTCTCCTCTCCCGTTCGGTTTGTTTGCGGGATTATTGCTCTTTCACTCTTGCTCTCCATGCTGTTGTTGGACCCCACTCTCTCTCTCTCTCTCTCTGTCTCTACGAAAGTGCTCTCCCTTGGTTTCTTTTTGTGACACAAAGAGAGCGATAGAGCAAAATAAGCAAGTCGAAGAGCGGGAATGCAATACTTTACATAAAAACACCTCTCGCTCCCTCTTTGCAGTTGTCGCGTATTACTCTGGCAAATAGCAAAAAAAAATATTTAAAAAAAATATACTCCCGAGACTCGCGTCGAGACATCATCCGTCGTCGTCGTCGCCATCGTCATCGTTCCGTTCCGTTGTATTTTTTGTTTCCCCTCTGTTCCCAACGTGTGCCGGAGTTACGGTGTGTGTGTGTGTGCGCCGCATATTATTGCTCTCGCTCTTTTGTCTTGTTCGTTCCCTTTTCACCTTCTTTCCATCGGCTTGCCCGTGCCGCAGCGCTCTGTCCACTGTGTGGACTCTGTCTCTGTCGTCACCGTCCCCCCGACTGTGCTACAAATACGCGTATAACAATTTTGTGTGTGGTGCAAAAAATAAGAAAAAGTGAAACAAATGAAAATTATACACACGCTCGCGGAGCCTGGTGCATAGATTTTATATGTGAATAAAACATAAACTAAATGCGCGGCGTGCCATATAGTCGTTGTGGTGGGGCGTGGGGAATCGGTATCGGAATCGGAATCGAGAGAGTGTGCGAAGAAACGGAAAAAAAGAGTGCATAAAGAAACGACGAGTGTATGTAGAAGAAGAAACGGCAATAAATGTGATCAAATTGTAATAGAATGTGAAAATACACGCACAAATACACACCCATACACACACACACAGAGCCACGTATGTGTGTGCAGAAAAATATGCGGCGTTTAAAAAAGGTGAACGGCATTTTGTGGTTGCTTCTAAAACAAAAAAACAAAAAGCAAAAAACCAAGGAAAGAAAATACAGAAACAAAAATACAAAGAGAGTGAGAGAGTGTTTGAGAGAGCTAAAAGAGAGAGAGGGAGAAAACCAATGTGTTTAAACAAATGCAAAAAGTAATGGAAAAAGCTAAACAAATTGTGAAAGAAAGATTTTAATTAAGTGAATAATTTTTTTTAGTGTGTCTGGGTAGCCATTTTCTCATTTTTCTCGACTTTAGTTTTTCCACACATCTAATTTTCGGTTCGGTTTTCGTTTCATGGGTTTTGATGTGTCATTGAGTCTGTGTGTGTGTTTGTGTGTGAGAGAGTGTGTGGTTTTCATTGTCTTTGCGCCTTTGCTTTTTGATAAAACATTACACGGGCGCACACGAACACACACAGGAACATTCATATACAAAAACGAACAGACGGGACCACTGACACTCGGACCATCATCCATTGCATTGCTTTCTCTCTCTCTCTCTCTCTCGCTCCTGCTCTCGCATGCCGCCGCCTCACAAAAACACTCGCTCTCTCGCTCATTCGCACACTTTATTTTGCACATTTTACTTTGGGCTGCTGCTGCTGCTGCTGGGGGTTGCCACCCTGTTGGGGATTGGGATTCAGTGTGTGGTGGCAGCGCTCTCTCTCCGCGAACCAGCAGATCAAAACAAAAACCCGCAGCCCGAAACTGCTGGTGTAGTGTTGCAAAGCGCTGGCAGATGGAGAGCATGAGTGCGAATTCGAATGCGAGTGCGAGTGCGAGTTTGGATCTCATCTCCATCATCTCCCCTCTCTATCGATAGGCACAAAGAAAATGAAAGATTTCAATCGATTGTGCAAATTATTTGTACTATAATTAAGTGTTTTATTTGTTGTTGTTGTTATTGTTATTGCTGCCTTTTCGTGCGTAATGTAATACTAATGTGCGCATCTCTCTCGAATCTTTTTCCAGATGTCCGCTGGCGCGCAATTGCAGATGGCCCCACAGAACACTTCGACCCTAAGCCATCATCATCCCAACCAGCAGCCGCAGCAGCCCCAACAGCAGCTGCAGCAGCAGCCCCCACAACAGCAGCAGCAGGCTCCTCCGCAGCAACAGCAGCAGCAGCAGCAGCAACACTTTGCCAATCATCACAGCTCGCAACAGCAACAGACGCAACAGGAACAACAGAATCCACAGCAGCAGCAGCAGATACTGTCACAGCCACACCTGCAGATCCTCCAAAAGCATCCGCATCAATTGCTGCCCCCACACCAGCTGCACCAGCAACAGCAGCAACAACAACAACAGCAGCAACAGCATTTCCACCAGCAATCCTTGAGCCTGCACCAGCAGCACCAGCAACAACAGCAGGTGGCAGCGGTAGCAGCGGCTGGGGGCAGCAGCAATCCCGACTCGAATATGAGCACTGGCTCCTCGCACAGCGAGAAGGATGTCAACGATATTCTGGGCGGAGCAGGAGCAGGAGCAGCAGCGGCAGCAGCAGCAGCGGCGGCGGCGGCGGCGGGCATCGGTCTGTCGGTGCAGCAGTGCCCCAGTTTTCCACCGACTCTCGGGATGCAGCACTCGAACAACGGAGGCGTTGGCGTTGGAGACATGTACATAACGACGACGGCAGCGACCACCAGCACCACACCGGTGAAGCCGCGCACGCCTGCCGAGCGGAAGCGCAAACGGAAGATGCCACACAATGCGGAGGATGCGTGTGGCGGCGGCTCGGGCGGAGCCGTAAACAACAGCAGCGGGCTGGGTGGAAGCCTGAAGGGCAAGTCCCTGCCCTTTCGTGATATGTCCAAGGTGGTGACCATGAGCCTCGGTCTGGGCGAACGCCTCAGTGGGACGAGCGTCCCAGGCGGCGCCGGTGGCGCTGGAGGCATCTCCAGTGGTGCCGGTGGCGTCGGTGTCGGCGGTGGCAGCTCCAGCTCTGGCACAGGAGCGGGCGGCAAGAGTGCGCGCCTCATGCTCACCGGCGGCGACAACAAGAAGATCAACGACTACTTCAACAAGCAGCAGTCGGGCGTGGGAGTGGGTGTGGGCGTTGGCGGCGTTGGCGTGGGAGTGGGCGTTGGAGCGGGCGGTAATTCTGCGACACTACGCGGCACCCACACCGGCAGCAAGTCACCCTCATCCGCCCAGCAGCAACAGCAGCAGCAGACCACCCAACAGCAGCAACAGCAGCAGCAGCCGACTGTATCTGTTGCCTCGGGAGGAGTGCCCGCCTCCAGTGTCCAGGTGCAGGTGCAGACCAGCCAGGTGCAAACGAGCAGCGCATACACCCTGTATCCCGCTAGTCCACAAACGCAGGTGGCGCCCAGCCAAGTACAGCAGCAGCAACAACAGTCTGGAGCGGACTTCCACTACGTCAACTCCAGCAAACAGCAGCAGCGCCAGCAGCAGCAGCAGCAGCAGCCACAGACTTCCAATCAAATGGTTCCTTCGCATGTGGTCGTCGGCCTGGGGCATGCCCTCAGTCTGGCCTCCATTCAGCCGCCCCTCATCCAGACGCAATCGCAGTCGGCCCAAACCCAACAGCAGCAGCAGCAGCTCGGGCCACCCGCCACATCGACGGCCAGCGGCCCAGGCGGAGTGGCCGTTGTGGCCTCACATCCCCACCAGCTTAGCTCTCTGGGCGTTGGCGGCATGGGCGTGGGCGTAAGTGTAGGTGTGGGCGTGGGTCCGCCTTTGCCACCGCCACCGCCAATGCCCGCCACGTACAGCAAGGCGACACAGACGGAGGTGTCGCTGCACGAGCTGCAGGAGCGGGAGGCCGAGCACGAGTCGGGGAAGGTGAAGCTGGACGAGATGACAAGACTGTCGGATGAGCAGAAGTGCCAGATACTGGGTAACCAGAAGACGATCGACCAGCACAAGTCGCACATTGCCAAGTGCATCGATGTCGTGAAGAAGCTGCTCAAGGAGAAGAGCAGCATCGAGAAGAAGGAGGCGCGCCAGAAGTGCATGCAGAATCGCCTGAGGCTGGGACAGTTTGTTACACAGCGAGTGGGCGCCACATTCCAGGTGAGTATTCCCCCCACACCCCCCTCACTCCGTCCGACAGAAGCGCATTTATTCAATCTCTAATGCTCTCTCTCTCTCTCTCTCTCTCTTGGTTCCTGCAGGAGAACTGGACGGACGGTTATGCGTTCCAGGAGCTGAGCCGACGGCAGGAGGAAATCACTGCCGAGCGCGAGGAGATCGATCGCCAGAAGAAACAGCTGATGAAGAAGCGTCCGGCGGAGTCCGGACGCAAGCGGAACAACCAGAACAGCAACCAGAACAACCAGCAGCAGAATTCCAATTCCAATGATTCCTCCCAGCTAACTGGCGGCGGCGGCGGTGGCCCCGGCGGCAGTGATCGCCTTGGTGGTGGCGGTGGTGGTGCCGCTGGCAGCGTTGACAGCGGTTTGGGTGGCCAAAATTCGGGCGCCCTTGGCGGTGGTGCCGGCGGCGGCGGAGGAGTCGGTGGTGGTGGCGGCGGTGGCGGTGGCGGCGGCAGCGGTCGCGGCCTCTCACGCTCAAATTCCACGCAGGCCAATCAGGCCCAGCTCCTGCACAATGGCGGTGGCGGCTCTGGCGGTAATGTTGGCGGCAATAGTGGCGTGGGCGATCGCCTGTCGGACCGTGGCGGCGGAGGCGGCCTGGGTGGCAACGACAGCGGCAGCTGCTCCGATTCGGGGACGTTCCTCAAGCCCGATCCCGTCTCGGGGGCATACACAGCGCAGGAGTACTACGAATATGATGAGATCCTCAAGCTGCGACAGAACGCCCTCAAGAAGGAGGATGCCGATCTGCAGCTGGAGATGGAGAAGCTCGAGCGGGAGCGTAACCTTCACATACGTGAACTCAAGCGGATACTCAATGAAGATCAGGTAAGATTAGGGTGCGTGGGGGGTGCTTCCATCTGGATTCTCCATAACGACTCTCTTCCCTTCTCTCTGTTCTTTTGCAGTCCCGCTTTAATAATCATCCCGTGCTGAACGATCGATATCTGCTGTTGATGTTGCTGGGCAAGGGCGGCTTCTCCGAGGTGCACAAGGCCTTCGACCTCAAGGAGCAACGCTATGTCGCATGTAAGGTGCACCAATTAAACAAGGATTGGAAGGAGGATAAGAAAGCTAATTATATCAAGTGAGTAGTGGAGAGAGAGAGAGTGAGTGGCAAGGCGAGGCGAGGCAAGCCGAAGAAAAGAGAAGAAAAGAGCAGGCAGCAGAACAGAACTGAGAGGCTTGCAAGCAGCAGAATGAAATAATCTATAAGTGATGTAGAAATACGAGAATTATAAATATATATGTAGATAGATGGATACAGCCAGTGCAGTACAGCATTGCAGGATTATATCTTTTAGTTCGGTTTAGTTCGAATTTCGATCGAATATTAGACTAACATCTGGCTTTCCTGCATGCACGCGTCATGCTGCAGCGCCCCTTGGTCGCCTTGGTCGTTTGGGTACGCAGCCTAGAAACGCAATCTGCCTGGTAACCTTCGCGTAGCAGGCTTCGGCTTCGCCATCGGCTTTCTACTCTTGCTCGATGTCCCAAAAAGATGGCAAAACTTTATCCAGAGCATCCGAATAGGTGGTTAGCTATAGACGACGTAAAATTGTGGAGAATGCAGAAGAAGAAAGCGTCCAGATCATCCCCATTGGAACTTGCACACAACTTGCCCTGATAAACCCGATCTATTATGATCTATTGCACTGAATGAAAAGTGTGGCAGAGATTAGATGCAAAAGGCAGTTCCCCCCTACTTCCATTTCCAGGAGTAGCTCCCAGAGGAGCAGTGATATCCCCCGTATCTAAAGATATTTTCGAAGATGTAAACAAACCTTTAGACTTCCCCATAAGTGAACGGACAAAAGGGGATAGATAGAAGTAGACAAAAAATAGAATTCGAATTTATAAATAATAGAAGTACATAGCATTGGGTAGGAGGGGGGAAAGGGCACGGGCAACTTACAGCCAACAATACTAATGTGTGTCTCTCGTATCGTTCTGTTAATCCCCTTCCCCGCCGCGCCCCATCAGACACGCCTTGCGGGAATACAACATTCACAAGGCATTGGATCATCCGCGCGTCGTGAAGCTCTATGATGTGTTTGAGATTGATGCGAATTCATTTTGCACCGTACTCGAGTATTGCGATGGCCATGATCTGGACTTTTATCTGAAGCAACATAAGACTATACCCGAGCGTGAAGCGCGCTCGATAATAATGCAGGTGAGTGTTGTAGCTGGATCTCTGCATCGTGTGCACCAGTTTTGCATCCTTTGGTTGTTTTTTTTTGTTGTTGTATGTAGGTTGTATCTGCACTCAAGTATCTGAATGAGATTAAGCCACCGGTTATCCATTACGATCTGAAGCCTGGAAATATACTGCTGACGGAGGGTAATGTCTGTGGCGAGATCAAGATCACCGACTTTGGCCTCTCCAAGGTGATGGATGATGAGAACTATAATCCAGATCATGGCATGGATCTAACCTCCCAGGGAGCGGGCACATATTGGTATGTACTTTTTTCTCTCTCTCTCTCTCCATCTGTATCTGTATCTTGTGGCTTTGTTTTAGGTATCTGCCACCCGAATGTTTTGTTGTGGGAAAAAATCCACCAAAAATCTCATCAAAAGTGGATGTATGGAGTGTCGGTGTGATATTCTATCAGTGTCTGTATGGCAAGAAGCCCTTTGGGCATAATCAGTCGCAGGCCACCATCCTAGAGGAGAATACCATACTAAAAGCCACCGAAGTGCAGTTCTCCAATAAGCCAACCGTTTCGAATGAGGCAAAGGTATGTAAAGCCCAAGTCAAGTCCAGTCATTCATTTTCTATTTTAAAATTAACATCTTGTGCCCACTCCTTTTCTTACACAGAGCTTCATACGTGGCTGTTTGGCATATCGTAAGGAGGATCGCATGGATGTGTTTGCATTGGCCAGACACGAGTATATCCAGCCACCGATACCGAAGCATGGCAGGGGCTCACTCAATCAACAGCAGCAGGCACAGCAGCAGCAACAGCAACAGCAGCAGCAACAGCAGCAGCAGTCATCGACATCGCAGGCCAATTCAACCGGCCAGACATCGTTCTCAGCCCACATGTTTGGAAATATGAATCAGTCCAGCTCATCCTAGCTGCCAACTAAACGCAATTCCAATTCATAATTCGCCGCCGCCGCCGCAGCAACAGCAGCAGCCACAGCCGCACAACAGCAGCAACAGTTGCAACAGCTGCAACTGCAACAGCAACAGCAGCAGCAAAATCAACAGCAGCAGCAGCAACAGTCACTAGCAGCACTAGCACCAGTAATACCAGTAGCAAATACATTACAACTACAACTACAGCAACACCATCATCATCATCACCACAGTCACCATCATAGCAACTATCTCCACAATCAGCATCAGCTCCACCATCAACAACAACTCCAACAGCAACATCAACAACAACAACAACAACAACATCAACATCAACAACAACCCCAACAACAACATCATCAGCTACTGAACTGTAGCAGCAGCAACTATGCGGCTTCGCTGCTCGATGCGGCGGCCTATTGCTATGAGACTGTGATGGATGCAGGCGGCGGCCACTACACCACAAACACAAAGCAAACGATGCCGGCGGCCATGTCAGCAGTGGTGGCCAATGCCACATGCACATCCACATCGATGACAACGGGCATGGGCCTGGGACTGGGATTGATGAGTACAACAACGTGCACGGGTACGAATACGGGTACAAGTACGGGCATGGGTACAAGTACCGGTGCGGAGACGACATCACCGCGCGCCTATCAGGGCAAATATAAGCGATGGCAGCAGCAGCAGTTGCAGCAGCAGGCCCAGTTGCAGCAGCAACAACAGATGCTGCTGCTGCAGCAAGAGCTGCTGTAAAGAGGAACCAGATAGTAGACAGGAGGGCAGGAAGGAAGGAAGGGAAAGCGAGGAGGCTGCTGCTTGCGCCGTCATGTCACACTGCCAATTCAATGCTTTGTTGTTGCTGCTGCGATGGAGAAACTACGTCTACTAAAAACAAAACAGAAACCGGAAGAAGGAACACAGGAACAGCAGGAGAAGAAGGATTCATCCTTCATAAGAATATTTCCAGAGAGTCGCAAACAAAACAAAAATAAAAAACAGCTGCAAAATGCGAAAGCAAAAACAAAACAAAACAAAAAACTTAATATAAAGAAACTATATATAAATATATATATATATATGCATATATATATATATTAAATGTGATAAACAAGCGTAAAGCAAAAACAAAAGTAAGGGAAGGAAAGGAAAGAAAGTAAGCAGCAAGAACCGACAAATGAGAGAGTAGAGCAGAAAAGAACAGAACACAACAGAAGAGAAGAGAAGGAGAAAGCGAAGCAAAGCAAAGCAAAGTCTTGGCTATAAACCACAAGAAAGCAGTAAACAGGAGCCATCTGCTCCACAGAAGCAGAGAACAGCAACAAAATGAGCGAAGGGTAGTAGAAAAGGAGGCGAAGAAGGATTCGAGAGAGAGGGAGAGAGACAAGCAAAATGCTTGCGATGAAAATTGTTTATAAAGGCTGCTATAAACACACTTTTTTTTTGTTAACTATAAAAATACCAATCAGAATAATTACTATATAATTATAATAAACAAAAAAGCTAATAATAAATGTAAATTAGTAAGTAGGGTGGCATCCAAAATACACACACACACACACAGAGAAAAGAGAGGAGTGTAGAGAGAACAGATGGAAACAGAAGTCAAACGATTCCCAAGAGATGGCAACAGCAGAAAGAAGAAAGTGAAAGAGAGATAGAGAGAGTTGACAATTTTTTCTTTGTATTACAAAATAGTAATGATAAATGATACACAAATACAAAAAAAAGAAAAGAAAAAAGAATTCCCCACTTCCCATAAAGAGAAGAAAATAGAAAAATAGCATAGCCCCACAGTATCGAAGAAGAAGAAGGAGCAGAAAAGAAGAGCATAGAATATAATACCAGAAAAGAGCAAAAAGGAAGAGAAGAGACAGACGGAGACAAGTGATTGCATTGTTTTTTGGGTTTTGTTTGTTTGTTGTACCATCAAACATTATCACATAACGCGAACAAACACCGCACACCGACAGACCGACCGAAATCGAAGACTGTTTATTTTGATGCCTTAAATGTAACTTTTAAATGCATATTTAAATCCTCATTTTAACATCTCTCCTCCAACTCGTACACTTTTATCTTAATGAATGATTTTAATTTGCCCAAATTGTGGATGAGATATATAGGGGGTCGTTTTCCTTACCGCCGAAAATTGGAACCACCCCCATAAATCATATTCTTGTTTGTTTTGTATCAAAATCCGAAATGAATTTGATTTAATCGAGCAAATCCCACACCATCACACACCTCTTAAGCCATCCTGCACCCCCATATACATATTGTATATGGAGATATCCTACACTCTGAAAAACAAACCGAAACAGAATCCGAAATCGAATGCAATTCCAAATCGAAGATAGAATTTCTTCTAGTTTCAAGAAAGCCAGGATACAAAAATACACAGAGAAGGAAACCCATTCTATTTCTTTATTTTCTGTTTGGGAATTTAACACGGGCCACAGAAAGAGGAGAAATGGGAAATCGCAGAAGAGTATGTGAGACAGAGAGTGAGAGAGAGAGAGAGAAAGCAGAAGCCACGGTAGACAGAAGATGATGGGTGAATCCCAGAAATAAAGTAAGAGAGAAAGTAATAAAAATCCAGAAAAGTGTGAACACGATCCGAAGTAAAATGATACTTCTAATTAAATCATAAACTAATGTAATAGTTTTTATTAAAAAATTATATATATGATTACAAACAAATTATATATATATATATATAAATGTTTTTTTTTTTAATTTTAAACCATATTTGTAATGCACTATGCGTAAAATTGTATTAAATATTAATATCCAAGGCATATTAATAGAATTATAATATATATATATATAAAAGAAGAAAAAAATTATATAAAAACAGCAAAAAAAACAAAAACAAAAAACTACCAAGCTAAATGTTTCAATAATATATAGATCTATATGTATGTAAAACCGATATGAAATCTGCCTAAAGCCAGAGCAAGAAAATAATAATGTATCCCCATACTCTTTGAGTATCGGGTATATGTAAAAACCACACAAACACACACACACACAGAAACACAAAGAAAACTATGGAGAAGTGAGTGAGGTAGGAAAAAGCTCTGCAGAAACGGAGAGAAGGAAAGCCTTTCTTTCCACGTAGAATTGCGCGATCCTTGCGAAAGTACATTTTTTTTCTTTGGCATAAAGCAACGAAGGGCAAAATAAAGGATGATTTCAAAGAGAAGCTGAAAGAGAAATTAGTTTTTAGTGCGCTGAAGTGAATATGAAATATTGTGTGAAGATAGGGAGAACAGAAGAGAAAGCAGAATGCTGAATATGTAGAAGCAACAAAAACTCCCTAAAAAAAGTATCAAAAAATGAATTGTAAATATTTATATAAATAATTTATGCCTAATTAAAATTAAAACTAAACAAACAAAACCAGCAAAAAAAAAACCACAAAAAATATGTAGAAGACGTTCTACAGAGAAGGTGGAGATAAAGAAAGAAAGAGAGAAGAAGCTGCAAGGCAAAAACCAGAAATACCATTTCAGAACCGATTTGTATATGTTATGTACGTACTTTCCTTTAATTTTAGCCAATCAATCAGTTTGTAAGTCTTTTTTTTTGTTGCCCTAAATGCGATAATGATACGATATGATGACTACTATATAATGGCCGATTTGTTTCCGATTGTGTACGTGAACGTTGGCATTAGCTCTTAGCTGATGTTTGATGATTGATGACTGCATGCGTGTGAGTGTTGATTTTATTTGTAGAGAGAGTGAGAGAGAGGGAGAGGATGTGAGGATCAGATCAGATGATTGGAGAAGGAGGAGGTAAGCAGGAGAAGGAGCTTGTGGAGTGGGAGAGAGCGCGAATCTATCTATATAATATATTTGTAAAATGCACATTTTTAAATTATAAATTATACATATTTAAAATGGACTATTATTATTATTATGATTATTATTGCATATGGCGTACCATTATCATTATTTTTTATTACCACGGATCGACTCTCGACGGGCTTCGATTTCGATCGATCCGTTCGAGACCCAGCACACAGCCAATCCACACACACACACACACACCACACACTCACACACACAACCAACAAAAGGAAGAAGCAAAAGAGAAACAGAGAAAACAGAACCAGAGAAACAAAATAAACAAGCAAAATGTTTGAAAAAAATATAACCTTAAAACATATGTTTTTTTTTTGTTAATTTCCTTTCCCTCCCCCACTAATTTTGAGTTTTTTGTTTTTTGCTTCGGACAGACAGAGAAAAAGGCATAAGCTTAAGCAAATTAAATACCTACTAAGTGTTTAAATAGTACTAAACGAATCAAAATAAATATACTTAAAGCGAAAGCAAAGACAAAGCAAAGGAAAGGAAAGGAAAGGAAGGAAGGGAAAGGTCGGGCGGTAGGCAGAGGGAACAAGGAAAAAGGAGGGAACGAAGAATAAAGAATGAAGGCGGCAGCAGCAGCAGCATCACTGGAGGAGAACATAAAACCAATTAAATTATTTGTTGAGTAATTTATTAAATAATAATTATGATAATAATTATATAAAAACAAAACAACTTAAATTGAATGGAAAGAGAAACGGTAAACAAAAGAGCAGAGAAACGTGGAAAGCGAAAAACAAAAACCGAATATGCATACATATATATACATATGTATATACATATATATATATATATATTATATATATATAAACAAATTATTTAATAGTTATGCTAAAAAATTATTTAAACGAAAAAGGGAGGAGGCCGAGACATGAAAGGAGAAAGAATGTATTCAGAACAGGAACACCCTCCCCTAAAAGCCACCGCCAACGCCACCGCCTCTGCTCCCAGCTCCCTGCTTCCGGCTCCCATCCAACCCGCAAACTCCAGCCCACCCCCTCATCCCACTCTCCACCCCAAACACCAACACCACCATCACCACCGCCGCCACACCACACCCATGGCAATCGAAGGAAACTTAAAAATGGTAGAGACAGAAAAGGGAGGGCAAGCAAAGTAGGCTCGAAGGAAGAAGGCGTGTCCAGGCGGCAAATGAGAGCAACTGAGACAGAGAGATAGAAAAGAGAGAGAGAGAGAGTGGATGTGGAAGTGGAAGATACTAAATCAATAAGTAAAACATAAAAAAGTAATTAATAAATTAATTCCCCAACAAAAGAGAAAAGAAACGAAAACAAAAGAGAACAAAAACCGAAAAACAATAAAAAACAAAAGACGAAACATTGAAAATAAAAAAATACTAAAATGATTGGAATGCTGAGTGGTGGATGGGTGGATGGCGAGGGAGGAATTTCTTGGCGGGGCTTAATGGCATGTTTTTTGGGCTTAAAATAAACGTACAATGAATCGTTGGAACCATCGCTGGAACCAGTGTGAGCGGCGACACAAGGCGGAACTTCTGGAACTGGTGGGAGCGTCACCGTGAACCACTGACTCCGAACATCTGGAACCATTGGGAGCCAAAACTGATGAGTCATTTGGTTCATCGCTCCTCTCTGCTAACTATCGCTAGATAATATCGTATTATAATATACTTCACGGGATTGACGTATTTGGGCTCTGAGGTATTTTTGGGCTCATATTTAAACGCAAAAACGAGTCGGGGGAGCGTTTTGAGTGCTCTCTTTCGACTGGGTCATAACCATACGGTACATATGTAGATGTGCCATTTCATAGAATGAAAGTGGCGCAGCTGAGTTTTCAGCGTACGTTCCCAGGTCTTCGGCTTTGGGGCCGATCTCGTTCGGCTCATGACGTGACTCGATCCGACGGACACGGACACGGAAGAAAAATAACGGAAGCGAAAAAACTCTTTAAAACGCGTAATTTTCGTTTGAATTTTACAATTTGTAAGCAATAACAAAGCTACGCATTGCTTTTAGCGGATTGCATTCTAGTTTTTACATATTTTCCCTTTATTTTAAATTTTTGTCAGCGATCAATTATAATATTTCGTTTCATATCAGTCAGCTTTTGTCAGTAAGCAATTCGAATTTTTCGTTTCACATCAGTCAGCTTTTGTCAGCGAGCAATTAGAATTTTTCCCTTCATATCAGTCAGCTTTTGTCAGCGAGCAATTATAATTTTTTCGTTTCATATCAGTCAGCTTTAGACAGCGAGCAACTAGAATTTTTCGATTCATATCAGCCAGCTTTTGTCAGCGAGCATTTAGTTTTTTGTTTCATATCAGTCGCTTATCAGCGGCTCACATTTTGTCCCCATTCGTCCTTGTCGCGGGCCTAATCTTTCGTTTCACATCAGTCGTTGTCACCGACAATCGAATTTTTTCCCTTCATATCAGTCAGCTTTTGTCAGCGAGCAATTAGAATTTTTCGTTTCATATCAGTCAGCTTTTGTCAGTGAGCATTTAGAATTTTTCGTTTCATATCAGTCAGCTTTTGTCAGCGAGCATTTACAATTTTTTCCCTTCATATCAGTCAGCTTTTGTCAGCGAGCAATTATAAATTTTCGTGTCATATCAGTCAGCTTTGTCGTGGCTTTCGGCGTGCCGCGGGTGGCGCGGCCAGTCGCGCAGTGGCTTCGCTTCGTCGCGTGCGCTCTCCCCTCAGTCAGCTGTCGCGGCAATTATAAGTGTCATATCGTCGCTTTGCAGTGAGCATTTCGTTCATCGTCTTGCAGCGGCTTAGTCGTTTCATATCAGTCAGTTTGTCAGCGGCATTTAGTTTTTCGTTTCATATCAGTCAGCTTTTGTCAGCGAGCATTTACAATTTTTCCCTTCATATCAGTCAGCTTTTGTCAGCGAGCAATTATAAATTTTCGGTCATATCGTCAGCTTTGTCAGTGGCATTAAATTTTCGTTTCATATCAGTCAGCTTTTGTCAGCGAGCATTTAGAATTTTTCGTTTCATATCAGTCAGCTTTTGTCAGCGAGCATTTACAATTTTTTTCCCTTCATATCAGTCAGCTTTTGTCAGCGAGCAATTACAATTTTTTCCCTTCATATAAGTCAGCTTTTGTCAGCGAGCAATTAGAATTTTTCGTTTCATATCAGTCAGCTTTTGTCAGCGAGCAACGAGAATTTTTCGTTTCATATCAGTCAGCTTTTGTCAGTGAGCATTTCGAATTTTTCGTTTCATATCAGTCAGCTTTTGTCAGCGAGCAATAAAAACACATTTTTTTTTTTTTTTTTTTTTATTTTTTATTACATTTTTACATATATGTTTACAAAATCGGTTACGGCAGCTAAAAATTATTCTATGCATACAATCATATATTTTGGAGTGTTACACGTACACACATATGTACATTATTGTTGTCCGCCGGCTCGTGTCACGACATGAGCCAAACGCGGTTAATCCCAGAACTGAACGCGATCGGTCCCAGAGCCGAAGACCTGGGAACGTACGCTGAAAACTCAGCTGCGCCACTTTCGTTGTATGAATTGAATATACTGTATGGTTAGTGGTTGAATGTTTTGAAAAAAACAATCGATACTATCGTAATAGTATCGTGCTCAAATAATTATTAAAAAACCATTGAAACCTTTTAGGAACTTGTCCATTGTAAAAATTAGATGCCCCCTGTCGATTTGCTTACAAATTTGTCTTCGTATTTTATAGCAGCCAATCCAAACATCAAAAGCGCAACGACTGTAGCTCGATACTATCATGATAGTCTCAAAACCATCGATAGAGGAGGCTAGCAGCAAAATATCGAAACTATTGAAGGTCCCCTTTTTGGTTTGACACCTCTACTCGAAACGTAAAAAACTTGGGAAGTGCTTGAATTTGGAAATAGAAATAAAATAAGAAAAATGGCAGCACCGATGGGAAAGGATGACCTGGAGAAGCTGAAGAGCTTCATCGAGTTCGTGGACGCGAATCCAACGGTGGTGAATGTGCCGCAGCTTAAATTTGTCAAGGATTTTATTGAAAAGTTTGGCGGCCGGGTGCCGACAGGCGACTTTAAGATGCCAGACGCCGCTGCAGGCGGGTAAGTTGTGCTGCCCCCCTCCCGTCCACCAGCCACCCCTTTTCACATGTTTGCACATTTTTTGCACATATATTTTTGTTGTTGCTTATCGAAATTTCCAGAAAATGCCCATTTGGCGGCGATGCCGGTGCCAAATCGAAGCCGGCTGCTGCTGGTGCCTCGACCCCAGACTCCGAGGGAGTCAGCATCGATTCGGATGCAAGCGATGATGAGTTTGCATCGGACTCCGAGTCTGATGTTGAGCTGGATATGGAAGGTGCGTAGCCGCCCGCAGGCAAATGAAAAAATTTGGCAAAGAATTTTTTTTTTTTGCCTAGTCACGTGACTTGACAGATTGTTCGAACAGTCTTTGAACTTTGCTCCGGCGTGCATTCTCTCTAACCAATTTTGCTCTCACACTTTCCACAGGCGTTCTACAGCCCGACCTTGACCCGGCCCAGCCCATGGGTGACTCTGCCAAAGAGGTCACCGATGAGGAGATGGACCAGGCCGGCGATGTGCGCGGCGAGGCCGCCAAGGCCTATGGTGAGCAGAAGTTCGAGGAGGCCATCGGCCTCTACACCAAGGCCATTGAGCTGAATCCCGGCAATGCACTCTACTATGCCAAGCGCGGCCAGGCTTTCCTCAAGCTGAAGAAGCCCAATGCCTGCATTCGTGACTGCGATAAAGCCCTTGAGCTGAACTGCGACTCAGCGGCCGCCCACAAGTTCCGTGGACGCGCCCATCGCCTGCTGGGCCAGTTTGAGGAGGCCGCCAAGGATCTGCGCCAGGCCTGCAAGCTGGACTTTGACGAGGAGACCGACGAGTGGCTGCGCGAGGTGACGCCCAATGCAAAGAAGATCGAGCAGCACCGTGTCAAGCTGGAGCGCAAGCAGGCTGAGCGCAAGGTCAAGGATCGTCTGCGTGCCCAGAATAAGGCACGCAAAGAGCAGGAGAAACAAAAGGCCTCGGCTGGTTCGACAGGCGGCTTCCCAGGCGGAGCTGCTGGTGGATTTCCTGGCGGTTTCCCCGGTGGCTTCCCTGGCGGTTTCCCCGACGTTGGTGGCGCTGGCGGCATGCCCAAAATGGCTGAGATGCTTGGCCTGATGAAGGATCCTGAGGTGGCTGCTGCCATGCAGGATATCCTCGCTAATCCGGCCAACATTTCCAAGTATGTGTCCAACCCGAAGATCTTCAACTTGGTGAAGAATATCTTCCCGGGTGGCGACCCAACCGGAGCTGGTGCCTTTGGCTCAGGAGCTGCCTTTGGCCAGGAAAAAGATGAAAAAGAGGAAAAAGACACGCCCAGTGATAGCAGCGAGCCGAAGGCCAAGAAGGATTCGGCGGACTTTGTCGACGATGGCCTCGACTAAGGGTCAAGGTCAGTTCTGGAGCAGCAGCAGCCGCAGCAGCAGAGGAGTGTGTTGTAGCGGCAAAAACAGAAACATAAATATTGAAAAACAACTAAAAACAAAGACAAGCATATACACACAGCAAGAGACATAGAACACACACACAAACACACAACACACACACACACACACACGTAAAATCACACTCTCCCGTAAGAGACACACACATGAGACAGAGCAGGATGGCAACACACGAGAGCAGTGCCAAGCCGCTGGCGCTGGCACTGGCACTGGCCTTGCCGCTTGCTTGCTCGCTCGGAGTTGAATTTATATTTTTGTTGATAAAAGCTTTCCCTACGCCATACCGCCATACCCTAAAGAATGAACAGAGCGAATGGATTGTTTTCCCCTTCTTGACAACAACAACAAGAACAACAACACCACCACATTCTTTATAGAAATAACAACAACAACAACAAAGAAAAGCAACAAACTGTCGATCGGTCTAGTTCAACTAATGTTCGATAGGAAGAAGCTCCAAACGAAAGCAATTACATATAATATAAATTAGCCTTAATTATTGCTCCCCCACACTCGCCACACTCTCACACACACACACACACACACACACACAACAAAAAACCAGCAGCCAGAGACAGAGCAGCAGAAGGTGAAAATGAACAAAGGAAAATAAACAAAAAAAAGAAACAAACAAACGGATGTAGGAGGACGAAACAAGATTTGTTAAACAAAATTGTACTGAGAGTAGGATTTGATTAATAATTGAACTAAGCAAATGCATTTAGCATACAATCAACCAACACCACCACCACCACCACCACCACCAGAGAAGCACCCACTCACCCACTCATCCACTCACCCACCCAACACATGCGGAATGCGCCCACATTCAGCCACTCATAAGGCACCCAACACACATGCAAAACACATTCAATACATCATATACACACATACTTATGTACATGCGCATATTCACATGTCAAACATTCATCAGCGAGATCAATGGAAATAAAAAACATTTGAGAACCCAAAAAGAAAGCTTTTCATTTCCTTAACTGGCTGGCTAATAATTATTTAGTTAATGGTAACCTACCTAATAGAGGTTAACGCCGATTGTATTAGCTTCGGCTTCGGCTGCAGCGGCAGTATGCAGTTAGTAAATACAATTTTGTCTTTTTAAATTAAAAAAAAAAACTCTTTAAACGTTTAAAAAGTAGCTAATAGAAATACAAAATGGATTTAAAACAAATTAACAGTTCTCCTTCACAGACTTGTTTACTTATACACCAAATCAAAGTCTTTGCTTTTATTCTTGCCAAGTGTAAACGCCTTAAATGAATAAATGAAAACTTAACTGGAACTTTCTTTGCAAGAATCGTTGTTGTCATGTATGGAAATAATTGTATTGACGTTTGGAGGACTGAGCTGCGATCGTTTATGAGTAATAGAAATGATTCGCTCACTTAGTGTGCTCGTTGCTGGAATGCACACTAACTTTGGCATTGCAAATGCCCTTTTAATATGTTGCTTAGCAGATGGGAGATTCAATATAACTATACCGCTGATTGCTAGCTTGTTGTACATCGCCAATCAGCTCTTTAAACATTTAAAACAATGTAGCCAGTGAGCTGAATAGCGGATCTAGTAAGGATGCAGAGACTAGTATATCTGATATTGGAAATTTTGAATCCAATTTACTTTTTATATTATTTTTCATTGCAGTCAAAGAAACCGGGACGGGACATTGTTTTCAGCTTCACCCAATATTCGGACGATCTCGGAAGGCTTATTGATGGATACAAAATATTTGCTGCGTCTTTAAATTAAATTAAATTAAATTAAAAATATTTATGGATACATTTTATGTAGCTCCACAGCTTCTGGACCTTAATCGCTGTTATTGGTATTTATTACATTAAGAAAATGTAATAGCTACAAGGTGTTCTATTGCGGACTTGGTCGATAATGTCGCGGATATCTTAATATTATTAAAATGTTAATATAATTTGTATGTAAACGCATCTCGTTGCTGCTCAAAGCACTGGGATCGTTGGATTGGCATTGCATTACTCATAGAATAGAGCACACACACACACACACACGCGAGTGTTGCTCTCACTCGCCTTGCTTGAGGGCCTTCACCTACTGCCACTCTCACTGCCACTCTCACTGCCACTCTCGCCGACACCCACCCACCCACTCTCTCTCTTACTCTTACTCTCCTTGGCAATCGGACAACGCTGACTCAGAATGCTCGTACATATAATAATAATAATTGGTGCAATTGTACGCGCAGCTCCTCTCTCTCTCTCTCTCTCTCTCTGTCGCTCTCTGCGTGAAGTGGTGTGGAGTGTGTGTGTGTGCTCAAAGGAACAGTTACAATGCATGGTGCGTGCCGGGGGCGCGTTTAAGGCCGACAAATGCATTGGAAACCCATAACTACTATTTATTGGGAGTTTTGGCCCCGACCCGTAAGGCAGCCAGACAGACAGACGAACGGTGAGCGTTCGACGATTACACGACGATGACATCATGACGTCAGCGTCTCAGCGATGGACAGGCAGGCAGCCAGTCAACTTGTTGTGCTTTCGATATGGATACCCTGTAGGCGAAAATAAGGGGGTATGTGCGATTAGCTCATCTCATTCAATGTCTGAAATGTAAACGCAATGAGGCTACTACATACATACATACATACATACATACATACATACATATGTACATAGTTATGAACAAATGTAAGAATTAATATTCCTTCAGGGATAATGCTGCATGTATGAATCAAGGCTGCACTTTGGATAAAGTTCCTGCACCGCCACGCTATTGACTCTCTGCTGGGCCAACGTCTGGTCGAGTCGCAGTAGCCGCTTTAGCCTTCTGCTTGATTTTGTTTTCATTCGAACACGACGCAGCCGGCGTTGGCTGCGACGCTCTGACGACCTGAGACTGGGACTGGGGCCGCCCGCTTGCTCGCTTGCTGGCAAATAAGCGAAACGCTTTTTCAGTTTCGTTTTCAACGTGCGCGCGCCAACACACAACCCGAGAACAAATTTGAAAACTTCGAAAAGCCCCCGCAGAACAGCGAGTATCCAAACAGTAAGCGTAAGATCCCCCCCAATAAGTATTTACATATACGTGTGTAGATATATCCATCGAGTGATATTTGATGCCCATGCCTGTGTGTATTTTCGGGGAAACATTTGAAAAACGCGCCGCGATTTCTTGGGGCGTAGCCTCCTTCCCTACAATCCCCTACCCCCCCCACCCCACCCCACTCAATGCAATTGAATTTTGTTGTTTCTACACTTTGTTTTTTTTTTTTTTTTACGATTATTTTGTTGTTTGCCATTAAACTGCATCATGGTGTGGAGCAGCAGGAGGAGAGCTGCTTCTGTGTGTGTCCGATGATATCATTTTCCGATTCGGAAATATGACTACGATTCTGCGCTGCGGTGCAGCGTCGCTGCCACTCCTGTTATCAGCAAACAATACCAAGAAAAGACCCACCCGCCCCCCCCTTCCACAACTGATTGACAGTTATTGGCAAGACGATAGCAGCAGCAGCCACCAGGCCAACAGGCCACCGTTAGTCGGCGGCAACAATTGGAAGATATTTCCGGCAAACGCAAATAACTTGAGATGCCAGGCTGATATTTTTTTTGGGCAACGGCAATTCATTTGATAGGCCCGCCAACCGCCAACCGCCAACTTGTTGCTGTTGTTGCATGCATAATTTGGACATGATATCATAGGCAACAATACGCCACACCCGCCTTCCCCCAACCGCTCCCCACCATCCCTTTCCTTTCGATTTCGTATGCGAAGCGGAAATCCGTTGGGTGCCCTCACAATCAACCTTCTAGAATTTATTGTTGCTGGTTTTTTTTTTTGGGCTAAATGTTTTGGAATGGCCATGATGGCCACACCCCTTGACCATCCCATACCCACAGGCCGCATTCCCAATGCGAATTGGCGCATCGATTAATGCGATTAGCATCTCATCGGGTCTCATCATGGCCGGTTCTGGTTTTGGTTCTGGGCCCCCCGCCCCGCCCCGTTCTGTCCCGTCAGACCAGTCTGTACTACTGTAAGTTATTGCGTCACTCGCGGCGATGGCGTCACCGCTTGCCTGGCTGCCTGAATGCCTTGATTAATGCGCCGCGGATTGTCGCTTCGAGAGCTTGAGGAAGGTCTGTAATCAACCTCCCTCCACCTACTCATCGAACCCCAATGAAATTTGAGTCATGCCAAACACACACCCACACATCCCCCCGTGCAAATAAAGGGAAGCTCTGCGGGGGATACGTGATGTTTGATTCCCTTCAGAAATCTTGCGGGAATTCTGGGAATTCTGGGAACAGTTAACCTACTTTGTGCCCATTCGCCTTTGGTTCGGTTCTTCTCTCCCTCTCCCTCTATGCCCCTCAGACACTCGACTGTGTGTGTGTGTGATGTGTGATGTGTGTGGTGGTGTGTGCCCCAATTTCTGGGAGCTTTTGCTCAGTTTTTCCAACGAACAAAAGGCAGCAGACCATAAAGTTGATGACGTCACCAGCAGAATATATATATATACATACAGAATATATGTATGTACAATCGTACTAGTAGGAGTGGACATTGTACAAGTCTCTACCCAAGAATGATATAGTGGATGCCCCGGCACCCTGTGCGCAGATCACCTTAAGACTGCCGAAGGAGGAGCCGAAGGAGGAGGAGTGTGTATGGTTGATGTCTTGTGTGGCAAGTAAATACATTTTCTCCGATTCTCCCCACTGGCGATGTTTCAATAACGCTTTTGGCGCTTTCGCCGAGGCCGGCATTGAAAATTATTTTAAAATTAGACAAAAACCAGAAAGAAGCAACACAAAAAAAAACATCCAAAACGAAAACAACAACAAATATATGGCCAAAAATATACAAAACACACCCACACACACACGCACACACGCGCAAAAATATCCCACATTATTCTGAAACTGTGCAGATTGATGGGCGTGGCAAGGGCGTTCGATCTGTAACAGCTGTCCATACGATCGGCCAGGTCACAAGTCTACACATCGTACACGTAAATGTTGGAGCAGCCAGAGAGAGAGAGAGAGATTGGTGAAAACTGAAGAAAAACTTAAGAAGATGAAGTGGGTGAAAAATCAAGCGGGAAGGGGAATAGTCTAAGGTGCATCCGGAGCACGTGGGGTACGGATGTCAGGATTTATAGAGTACCAAATCGATTATATGGGGGGGGGCGTTCTAATGTCTGCATTTGCACAATTCATGTATTTACTGATCAATGTGGAATATTATATTTTCAGACCCCACCTTCTAACCGATATCCCTCCCAGTCAAATACCACCGGAAGCAACCCAAACGCCAAGATGTCGCACTCAGTGACCATTACACGTACCACCACCAGCACCACCAACACCTCGTACATCGTGCTGAACACGGGCTACCTCAAGTCCTTTCCGGGAATCCTCAAGCTCTTTGAGCTGGTAAGCTACCTCATTGGAGTGTCACTCACTACCACTCACTCACTCACTCACTCACTCACTGTCTGTCTAATGTTTTGTACACAGATCATTGGCGCTGCCATTGTGGGCATTATGGCCTACAACTATCAGGGATACCGCAACTACTTTTACTCGGGACAGCAGGATCTGTTCCACTTTCTGATGGCCACCACGTTTATGATAGGAACATTCTGCCTACTGCTCGCCTGCCTCACCTCCCTCAGCACGGGGGGCATCATCGCCAAGACGATTTACGTGAGTGCTGCTGCCGGTCCCTGCTTGGATCATTCGATCTTTAACGTAATCTTTCATTGGGCTGTGTCATTGCAGGAGCTGATCTACCACAGCGTCGCTGCCATACTGATTCTGGCCTCGTCCATCTGCCTGCTGATCCGTCTGCGCGATGTAAAGCACGACGGCTACATGGTGGCCGGTGTCCTGGGCCTGGTCAATGCCGTTCTGTACTTCATCAGTGCCTTTTTGGCACATCGGTCCTACCGCGGCATCTAAGTGCCAGCAGCGTCCAGTCCGCCCGCAGTCCCCCACTACCCCACTACCCCACCAACTCACAAACTCAAAACCCCCTCCCCCTCCCCCACCCCCACTTCAGCGAGTGTTCAAGTAGTAATCGAATCTGTAATCTCGAAGCATTTGTACGGCATCGCCGCTTCCCACATGCCATATAAACGAGTCCGTGAGCGAGTACGAGTTCGAGTAGCATCCTTCTATATAGGAGACGCCGATAGAGGAGGAGAGAGAGATAGATAGAGGCAGGAGCGAGAGCGAGAGCGCGAACGAGAGACGGATTCTTTGTTGTACTGTGAAACGTTTTTTGGCGCTCATTACACTTACTTATACTGACATACATATATATACAACTTTTTTTTGTCTCACTTTCTTTTATACCAAACAACTTGTCATTTATTGTATTCGAATAAAGATGTGTGTCTATATGTTTTTCTACAAATCACGCCCAACGCCCAATCTACTTACATATGCCTGCACATATGTATGTACATATGTATTTCTTGTGATAATTGTGATAGTTCCATTCGCAAGAACAACAAAAAGTTTGCTAGTTTTTTTTATCAAGCTTTGGTCATTTGCCACAGCGATAAAGCTGCACTGCAGGATCTACACAGCCAGTGGCGGGCCTTGACTAACTCATAGCTCATGTGCCGAACATACACGCATATTATTTGTCTTGGGCATGCCATTATCCATATTAAGATATCAATTCGATCGGACAGAGATGGACGTGCTGCAGACAGAGATAAACCAAGTTCGCTGTGGATAGGGCATGGAGATATGTATATCTCTCTCCATGCAAGTAGCTATAACGATTCAATATCGAATATAACAGAAGGAATTAAAATTTTCCCGAAACTTCACTTAACTGGTAACAATAATTGTAATAATATCAGATTCAATATAAGAAAAATAAATAATTAAGAGATAGAGAAAATGGTCTGAGCTGGGTGAAGAACTTAGAATAATGCCGCGAAGGATATCAACTGGCATCAACAGATCTGAAAATTCCAAAATCTCAGTTTAGAGCGTCACGAAATTGAGCGATTTTAAATGTGAAATTAAATGAAGGCAGTTTTCCTGTCTGGTTTGTTCGTCAATTGTGGACTGATTTGGGCGGGACTTGGCTGCCTTGGATAAGAACTCCGATATACACAGCCATACATAATTAATTTTTGTTGGCTATTTGCGGGCCAATCTCGGCGTGTGGTGGAGTATTTATGGAGTCCTTATCGAGGATATTTTCACCAAACATATATATATTGTTCTCTCCGCCAATTGTGAGCTGATCTGGGCGTGCACGCGTACCCACTGTAGTTGAAGGTATAAAATGGAGGCGATCACTCTCGCCCGGCAATAAAAAATGCAAATGCAAAGTTTTTTTTATTATTTTTTTTTGAATATTTTTAATACATTTTCTTTGTTGCATGCATAAATATGTAACTCGTATAATATTGTTGTTGTTAATACACAGAGAAAGCAATTGATGTTCCGTTTTGCTGATAAATATGCCATCTATATACGTATACTTGTACGATGTTGCCCGGTGTAAATCGGGTTAAATACAATATTTGTTGTGGGTGTTTTTGTTTGTTTTTTTGTTTGTTTGTTGTTGTAGATATTTAGGTAAATATATTTCGCGTATACGCGTATATTGATGTATGTAGATGTTTTACTATGCATGTGGAGGGGTGCGTTAACGCCTCACATATGTATGTATGTATGCATGTACATATGTGTGTGTGATATCAAAAAAAGTTACATAATTTCATTATGTCTGACTTACATACCATACTCGTACATATGTACGTATGTACATATACTCAAAAGATATCCATACAAATGAAAAAAAAAAACACAAAAATAAAAACAAAAATTATGCTTGATTAAACGAATTCATTTTCGATATCGATTTCGATTCTCGTTTGGTTTTTGTTTTGTTTTGTTTTTTTCTCTTTTTTTGTTGTTGTTGCGTTTTTTGTTTGTTTCCTTCAGATAAATATTGTTTTTTTGTTTTTTGTTTTTGTTTTGTATTAAACACACATGTATATTCCTTCATATAGGTATTGTATATATAAGTATATATATGTAAATCGTATATAAGTATTGTATATGTGTTGTTGTATATATTTAAGATATTCACTCCCCCTGTCTGTTTTCTTTTTTCTGTTTTTTCTGTTGTATATTATTACCAAGTGCCTTAATTGAAAAAAAAAAATTCATTTCTTTTTGCTTGTTTAATTTGTTTTTTGTTTGTTGTTTTGTTTTTTGTTTGTTGTAAACGTTTACAAATATTCGTGGACACATAGAGTTCTATAAATTGTTGCCGTTTCTGTGGTTCGTGTGCACATCCAATGCATATAAGAGTATGTGTCCCATAACCCCATAATAGGGGGGGACTAAGATCTAGTTTCGTTATGAAATTGTATAAGGAAATGCTTTCGAATATAACAAATTACGACACTGACGACAAGAGCACAAAAGCACAGCACACAGTGCCACACAACAATAAGGAGTAAGGAGTAGGGAGTATATGATCCAAGAAACAAAACCAAAAAAAAAAAACACCTCCAAAAAGCTCTCACTGAGGGATACATACGGGTATGTATGCACATCCCGCCGCCCTGCGCCAGTTCCATAAGTTCAGTTCCAAAACACAAGCACAAACACACTCATTGATTCATTCGTTCTTATAGCACTGTTCCGTTCTGTTCTGTTCTGTATATATCGTTCACACAATCCGGGCCAGTCTATACTCATATGTGTCGTATATATCGTATAGAAACACTCTCTTCACATTCACGTTTTCTTCTTTTTCTTTTCTGTTTTTTTGTTTTTTTTTTGTTTCAGCTATTACCTTAACAACAAATTGTTTGTACAGACAACATTTCTCATTTCCCTTAGCTTTGTTGGCTTTGCCGCTCCCTTTTTACTTAGCCTAGATCTGTAGATCATATTAATCATATATATATATGTATATATGTATGTATGTATATAGATATATATGTATATGTATTTGTATTTGTATATTCCTTAGCACTCTATATAGTTGCTATATAACATGTAGATCTTAAACGACTAACGACAAAAAAAAAACACGCGTGTATATTTGGATATTCAGAGTTACATATATATATACTAAATATATATAAAAACTAAAAAAAAAAAACACATTTTCGTATGGCTACTTTAGAGATTAAAGAGAATAAGCGAGAGAAGGAAACAAATGGAGTTAATGCAGTGTGAGATGGGAATGGGAATGGGTTGGGGGGGGGGTCTGGTGGCTGCTGGATGGCTGGTGGCTGATGATGGCTGGATGGGTTTTTGTTCAGAAAGATTTTCGCTATATATATATATATATTGTAATAATCATATTCGATATTGGTTATTGGGTATCCCCCAAAGCTTCGGGGGGGACAGACCCTCGAAAACAACTCTACTACGCAAGTAATATGTGGCCGCGGACTTTGTGCCTGTAATAAGTGGCCTAAATGGTACACCAAATGTGGCTATGTTTATGGGTTACTTTTTTAATGGTTATGGTTGCAGGACTCTGTCCCGTTCCATTCCATGCTGCTGCTGCTGCTCTGCTGCTCCATTTTTAAAACTCCTTGAGACTGCCGCCTCGCTTTAGCTTCGTGAGCCGCTTCAAGCTGGAGCTCAGAATGCCGCCGGATCCACCGCCGGTGCTGGTGCTGGGCCTTAGCAGCCCGCCTCCTTCGTTGCCGGCACTGCGATCCCGCTGCATGAACGAACCGCGGAAGCGGACACGGCCACGTCCCCGCCGCTGCTGCTGCTGCAGCTGCTGCTGCTGCTGCTGCTGCTCACCCACGCGGCGCCACAGCTCCGTGAGGGGCGGATGGTGCTGGTGGGGCTGCTGCTGAAGGGTGCAGCAGCACACCAACTCCTGATTTTATAATTTCTTCTCCCACACCACTATGTGAGCATCGTTGGAGTTGGCCGTCAGCGACGGACTCGACGGCGAGGAGCCCCCGCCGCCGCCAGCATTACCGGAGCCGCTCGGTCCGCAGCCGGAGGCGTCGTTCTTGCCACCACTGCCACTGCCCTTGTGGTTGGGGGATGCGTTCGGGCTCTGCCACAGGTGCCGCCAATAGCCGCGTCCCCCCATCAGGGTGATCACGGTGCGCGGCCCGTCGGCGCTCTGCTGCTGCTGCTGCTTGGTGTTTTGCTTCTGCTTGCGCTTCAGTGTGGCCACAGCAGCCGCCGGCTTGTCCGATGACTGTCCTGCTGCTGCTCCAGCTGAAGTTCCTGCTCCTGCTGACGTTCCTGCTCCCAAGGTGTTCTCCGATTTATTGGGAGTGCTGTGCTGGGTCTGGCTCTGGCTCTGGGTCTGCTGCTGCTGCTGATGGTGATGGATGTCGGCGGTGGTCATGAGGCCGTTCTCGGAAATGTTGCCCAGATCGCTGCCAGTGCCGGATGTCTTGTGGCTGGCGCTGCTGCTGTTGCGGGACACCGAACGGCCGCCAAAGAGCCGAATGCCCATGCTCTCCTCGCTGCCCGACGACGTGTACAGGCTGGAGGACTTGGAGTCCACCGACCAGTTGGACAGGTCGAGGGAGCGCGGCCGCGAGGCCTTCATGCGCAGACGCCGGTCCAGGGTGCACACCTTGCCGGGTATGGCAGCCAGTTCGGGATCGGAGCGACGCATTCCCTCGTACATCATGTCCATGAGATTGCCCTGCGTCCCCTCCTCGGCGTCGTAGTCCTCCTTCACGAAAATCAGCTTGCCATACAGTCCGTACACATCGCAGTAGCCCTGCTCCCCGCCATGCTGCGAGCCCGAGCCCGAAACCGAACCCGAACCGCCTGCTGCGCCTCCTGAAGCGCCCGATGCGCCGCCTCCAGCTGCTCCACCCGTTGAGCCATGTCCCCTGGGTAGAGTTTTGGACATTCGGGCATCCTGAGCGGCGCCCAAATCGCGGAACCGCTTGCGATGGAACGCCGGCGAGTTGGCCAGCGAGGCCCGGATCTTGGCCGTGAAGCTCTGGTCCAGCGATCCCTGCTTGTCCAGCTTGGAGCTGCGCGGCGAAGAAGTAGCCGAGGGAGCAGCCGAGTCGCCACCGCCACCGCCGCCGCCGGCGGTCTCCGTGCTTAGGTCCCGGATCATAATGGAGCCAGAGGGAATCGAGGCGGAGCCATCCGCCGACTTGTTCAGATCGCGCCGCAGCACGACGGAGCAATCGTCGATCTCCAGCTTGGGATCGGCATCGATGGCCGGCAGCTGGAGGTCGTCGCCCATGCTGGGCACCGTGGTCGGTACGGTGAGGCCGGCGGGCGGCGGCTTGTAGGTGGGATACACCTTCGGGATGAGCGGTAGGAGGAAGGTGATCGGGCCGAAGTGCGCGTGGCAGGACATGTTGATGCCGCCGCTGATGATGGGCACCCCCTCGAGGCGGGGCAGCGGAATGGTGACGGCAATGCCCACATTGGTGCCCACCCAGAGCAGGCCCTTGCAGGCCATCAGGGCGGTCACATAGACAGAGGTGTTGTTCAGCGGCAGCTCCTTGCGGCCGTCGTGCCGCAGCACACTGGACGCGATATTGATGTCCTGCAGATGCTTGAACGTCTCCGTGTGGTACAGACAGAGCACCGTGGAGTTCTTCAGCGAGATCCACAGGCCAATGCCCGAGTGGGCCATCAGATTCACCTCCTGGGTGGCGCCGTGCTGCACCTCGAAGCTGCGCTGCATCTCCCCATTGAGGGCGTTCAGCACGTACACCCGGTTCGAGCACGAGGCATAGATATTCATGTTGATCGGCAGCAGGCTGGGCACGGGGAAGCCCGTCTCGCCCAGCGCAATCAGCTGCGGCTCGCGCATCTGCCAGACCCCGTCGAACGCGCGCCGATAGATCAAAACGCTGGCATTCGAGAGCGCCACGTAGATGGCATCAAAGTGGTAGAGGATCCGCCTAACAGCGCCCGGCACTGCGTAGCTGCCGAGCTGCTCCTCCTGCTCCGGATTGCGGGCCGAGTAGATCAGCAGCTTGCGGCTCTCGGTGCCCATCCAAATGAGATCGCCCAGCAGGCTGGCTGACGGCTCCTCGCGCTGCATCTTCCACTGATCCAGCCCCTTGATAAACTCCAGTGCCGACACGGTCGTCTCCTGCAGATCAAAGGCGCCCGCCTCCCTCAAATTGCCCGCCTGCTGTGGATGCTGCGCAAAGATGGTGACATGCGAGTTGGATCCGTCGCTGCTGCACATCCACAGATAGTTCAGCTGCTTGTGCCGCCGTCGCGCATTGCCGCTCTGCTTTGTGTCGTTGGCAATGCTATAATAGCATCCACAGCGCACCTGCAATGCAAGACAAGAAAAAGTTAAATAAATAATGGATAATGATAAGTATATGGGAGTATACAATCGTATTCAGAGACTGACTCCTGTAGGCACTGTTGTGCTGCACGCGAGAGTGCAATGGATCCTTAGACGTTTGCATACTTAATGGCAGGTACTCTGATCTCATTTGAATTTATTTGGCATTGTTATGTGACTCAGCTTTCTTAGTTTCCTTTCTTTGCTTTCTTTCGTTGAAATATAACAAAGAGAAGGAGCAGCAAAGCCGTCTCTCTGAGAGGCAGATCAATGTTCCATGCTGTTGCTACGAGAAGCCACCTCCATGGTGCCTCTGCTCCGATCTTTGCTAGCTGCAAATCAGCTTTCGATTTGCTCAAAATTCAGTAGCTAAGCGGCCCTATCTAATGGGTCGCTGACGTGCATTACAGTGGTTGAAACCAATTTAATGTTACTACAAAACATGTGAATGTGTGCGTGCCGACCCATGAACTGAGTGCACATGAATTATGCAATGCTGGCTGTGAAATGCTCAAGCAACGAGTGCGAAATGGCTCCCCCATGGGATATGCATAGTTTACACACCTCGGATTGATGCTGTGACTTGAAGATGGGCATTGCCTTGACAAAGAGCGGCATCTTGCGCGACTGCTTCTGCTGTATAGCCTCCTGTAGCTGCAACTGTTCGGGTGTGTGATGCGGCATCTGGCGGTCGGCGGACTGCATGGCCGGATGGCCCGGCTGGGAGCCGCTGCGCTCCCAGGCGGGCGAATTATTCGGATCGAGGGCCAGCTGGGCCAGACGCAGCTCCGTGATCCATTCCTTCTTGACGTGTGGATTCTGTGTCTGGAATGTGAAGGTCTCCTCCTTGCCGGACTTGTGGCGGCCGACCACCTGCAGACAGCACGAGTCCACCCAGGCCATTTCCTCGTCCTTGCGCTGAATGGAGCCCTGTATGGCATTCAGGACGGTGCGTGTGGTGTTCGCATTCAGATCCTTGTAGCTGCCCTTGAGGCTGCCCACCAGATCGTGGATGCGCGAGATCACCTCGTAATCGTACATCAGGGTGCTCATCTCGCTGCACAGATTGTCGGCGCCGCTGGTCAATGCCGCTGCCGGCGAGCTGCTGTCCGCCCCGCCATGGCCCGGCAGAGTGCCGTGGGCATAGGGGCTGCCAGTGGCGCCCCCAGTGCTGCTATTCGACTTGAGACTGCCGCCGCGATTGAGACCTGCCAAAAGGGATTCAAGGATTATAGATACAGCATTCAGCATGCCAACTGATATATTCCGTTGAAGGATATTCACCTGCTGTGAGTATGCGCGACAGCGTGGCCGATGTGCTATTGTCCACGATCTCGACATCGTTGACGGGGAACATCCACTTGAAGGTGAGCTTCTCGGTGGCCCCAAAGTCGTGCGACTGCTTGGGGGCGACGGACACGCAGATGACCTTGTCGTTGAGCAGCAGCAGCCGTCGCTGCTTGCACTTGACCATGAGGCCGGCCTGGTTGAACTCCATGTGGGTGACATTGTCCTCGCGCAGAAGGTAGCGCGGACGGGGCCCGCCGTGGCCATCGGTGACGCTGACGCTGCTGAGGGCGCGCGTATTGAAGGTGCCAGAGATGTGGCCGAGCATCTCCTTGAACGCCTGATACTGTTCCGCCTCGCGCTTGCTCTCGTTCAGCAGCTCGGCGAGCAGCTCCAGCTGGGAGAGGGCCAGCTGCAGGGACATGCGATCGTGATGGCCCTGCGGCGTGTACTTGAGCAGATCCTGCAGGAACAGTATGAACTGGGGAAAGCGCTGCACCGGCTTCACCATCAGCCCAAAGAACGACAGACGATCGTGGGCGCTGATCTGCTTCACCTTGAAGAAGTCGGCCAATGCCGATTTGCGCTTCTCCTCCATCTTGGCCAGCTCCATGGCCGCCGAGAAGTTGTTGATGAAGCCCGAGTAGATCTCCAGCAGCTGCGGCTTGCCAAAGGCGCTCACAAAACAATCGCCGATCTTCTCGTCCCTGTCCCAATTGCGTACGCACTCAGCCAGCGAGATGCGGAACAGCTTGTGCGAGTGCAAAATGTCCGGCAGGCAATGGAACAGAGTGGCGATCTTCACTGGATTCAGAACGGGTGGATTGCACTCCTCCAAGGGTTTCTTGTAATCCTAAGCAGCCCGCAGCGAAAGAGAGAGTAAAACATTATTAGTTGTGGCTGGATCTGTGGGCTCCCTATTTGATGTTCGATATTCGATATTCGATAATCGATAATCGAATTTCGTGTTTACCAAAAGCTAACTCCATGGGGGGGAATCTTGAGCTCAAGGGATCTGCTCTTGATTTGTGCTTTGATTTGTTTTTGTTTTTCTTTGATTTTGTTGTGTGGTTTTCGGGTTTATTGTCTTTTGTTTTGGTTCTAATTTTGCAACTACTTTTTGAGTGTGGGTGTGTGGATCGTATCGTATGGAAGTGGTGCATGTGTTTTTTTTTTTGTTTTGTTTTTTTGTTTGTGTGTGTATTGGTTAGTGGTTTAGTGTAGTGTCAGTATATAGATACAGTTTGCATTTATTGAAATTAGTTATGATGATTAGTTTAGTGGCGAAGATTCATGGCATGGGAATTCAGGATGGATGGCATGTAAAGAGATCAAATGATTTGGCATGAGATTAATGGTTACATTACAGGTGCTACAGATGTTGCGATAGATAGATACGATAGTTGGGGGGGTTGGCTACTACGAGTAATACTACGGGTGTCATGCATTTCATGGGTCAGCGCGTTCAGCGGTGGGCAGGGGGCCTTTGGTATTCTTTTTTTTTATTCTCGGGCATTCTCTTTGACAGCACTCACTTGTGCGTCTCGAGCCGGTGCATTAATATGTCGCGTCATGCACAGGGCATGTAATTATTGTTTTTTTTTTTTTTTTTTATTCTTGAGTGTTCTCTTTGACAGCACTCACTTGTGCGTCTCGAGTCCAAGCATCAGTGTGCGCCACGTCATGGGTTGGTACCTGCCCACCGCTGCCTTATTGTATCCCTAGGGTCTGAATGATTCGGGTGCCTGTTCAGCACTCGATTTACACGTCAGTTGACACACCGCACAAGTCAGATCTAGTCAGAATCAGTCCCCTAATCCCCAAAAATCCCCAATCCACTACGAGTACTACAATTGCTGTGTGGTTTTTTCTGTAATTTGCAATCCATGCAATCATGGCTGATCGGTTGAAGAACCAAGCGGCCAGTCAACAGCCAGACGATGAGCCCACAGAGGAGCAACTGATCGCCGATGCCTATGCCAATGTGAAGGTACTGGTGGAGGCTGGCGATCAGGCGGGCTATCTGCAGATACAGCCAACGGAGGGGCACAGGTTCGTGCTGGCCAGCTACGACGATGTGCTGGTCGAGAAGTACACCGAGGCGAAACCGCAGGAGCTCAGCAAGTGGGACACGGCCACTGCCTTGGCACCGCTGATCAATCGCATTGAGCCGCAGGACGAGCAGCAGTTGGGCAAAATCCAACTAGATCCGGTCACGGGCAAGCGCTACATGTTGGTGCCCATCGAAGTCAATGTTCTTGTCGATGGCGAGAAGCTCTGCAACATATTTGAAGCGGACCGCAAGAGGCAGCAGCAGGCACGGCAGAAGAAGCACGAGAAGGCGTTGCAGGTGAAGAAGGAGGCGCTTGTGGATCTGGCCATTGAAGCCACAGCACAGAAAACATTCAGGCAGCTGGTGGATCAGGAGAACACTTCAAAGGAAGAGACTCAGAAGAAAGCACAGAAGAGCCCCAAGAAGGCGTCTCAGAGGATGAGCCTCAAGGAGCGGCTTGCAAGGCGCAGCCAGAAGAAGCAGCTTCAAGGGGAGCAGGCTCCACAGGAAGAGCCGCAAGGGCAGACTTCAAAGGAGTCCCAGCGCCTGGACGACTACAAGGCGGTGGTCGTTGTGCCCCCCATAATATTCTCCTTCAAAGCGGGCCTCGGCCAAGAGGCACAGCAGCATGCGACGGAGCCAGCAGCTTCTTCCAATCAGCAGGAAGAAGCGAAGCAAGTCTAGTCGCAGCTCTCACCCTCACTCACTTCGGACCCAAAGCAGAAGCCAGAGGAGAGCAGAATGGCCTAGAGAACCGCCGGGCAGCAGAGCAGAAGGGATTACGGCTCTAAGCCATTCTGTTGTCACCTGATTTTCGACTACAAATTACAGAGTTTACATTTGCTGGATCGTCGTTGTTGATCCCTGAATAAATTCAGCATTCTGTTGATGGTTATACGAGTAGTTGGCTGTAGCTTTCAGCTGCCCCCTGGATGCCCCCCCCTGGATGCCGCCCTCTGGAGTACTCACATTGACTAGACGCTGGAGGGTAGCCACATACGAGTTCTCGCTGTGCACGATGGCTGCCACAATGTGTCGCCGCTTGAGCTGCTGCTGCGAGAGTCCGGCCGGTGCCGGTGGCAGCATCGGTACAATCAAACGTCCATGGGCCGTGCGGGCATTGCCGCCCCCATTGGCTGCTGCTGCTGCTGCTGCTGTGGCTGCTGCTGCACGACTGCCGCCCGGTGTCAGCATCATGTCCATGTCGAAGCGATTGCTGGCCACCGCCGCTGCTGATGCCTCGTCATCTTCATTCTGCAAGCAAGAAGAAGGCAAATGGAGGCAATGGAATCCTTTTAGTTTCGCTCTCTCTCTCTCTCTTGGGGGAAGTACTTACCTCTGGTACTCCGGGCATCATCTTGCTGGCACCCAATGTGGCCAGCTTACCGGGCGAGCTGCTGTCCAGCGCTGTGCCTGCCACTATTTTGGGTGATCCCCCGCCGGCGGCGGCGCTGCCAGCCGCCATGGCCGTTGCTGCCGCATCGGGCGTATCGAAGCTGGCCGCCGTCGACTGGCGGACATCGTACTGGTGCGTGGAGCCGCGACGTATCGAGAACCAACGCGAGAGACGGCCGCCTGGGGACTCGCCGGGAGTCGTGAGATCCTCGCGTTGCGACGATGACCCGCCACCAGTGGCGGGCATTGTGCAGGCGCTGGCCCTGCGCATAATCATGTTGCTGCTGCTGCTGTCCGTTGCCGGAGTTTGTCCCGATGCTGAGCTATTCGATGTGCCGGCTGTTGCAGTGCCTGAACCGGAACCGGAAGCGGAAGCGGATGCGGAAGCGGGTCCTGTGCCGGTGCCGGCCGTGCGCCATTTGTCAAAGGACAAATGCTGCTTGGCCTTGTTGAAGGTGGAACGCAATTGCGAATTGCGTTGGTTGTTGGCGCTTAGGGAACTCACGCTGCTGCTGGTCTGCTCCTCTTCGGTTAATACCTCCTCGTCGGAGTGGCTCGCAGTGGGCGCTTCCCTCTCCGACTCCCTTTCACGACACGGCGACTTGTTGTCGCGCTCGCTGCTGGTGCTGCTGCAGGCGCCGCTGCTGCCTACGACTGCACCAACGCCAACGCCAACACCAACGGCAGCCTGGCCACCGTTGGCGCTGAAGCTTCCGCCGGCAATTGTGGGGGCGCCGCTGTCCTGGCTGCCGCTAGGACTGGCCTTAAGACTGAGTAGATTGTTGCAGGATCGCTGCTGCTGTTGCTGCTGTTGCTGCTGTTGCTGCTGCTGCTGCTGCTGCTGCTGCTGTTCTCGTTGCTCCCGCTGTTCGGCGATGCGTCGACTGAAGGCGCTATGCAGCTGCGCTGTGGTGATGCTGGCGTTGTGTCCCGGATTGATCGACGATGGCGAGTGGATAAACGAAGACGTCTGCTGCTGGTGCTGCTGCTGCTGGTGCTGTTGCTGATCGTCCAAGGTGTCCTCCCATGAGCCAGAGTTTATTCGGTGCTCATCTAAAAGAAACAAAAGAATGGCCGAGAACTGTTATGACTGAGGGTTGGAGGTTGGGGCGAAAATCCACCTGGAGGTGGATCGCAGCCAATTATTATGGCCAATTATTTGTACGTTCTGTAGGTGAGTTAATTGTGTAAGCACATTTGTGGGCCAATATGCAGATTAAGTTGGCCAACAGGATTTGGCCATGGCCATGTCTGGTCGTGTCAGCCATGGCCAGCCGCTTGCCAGCCGCTTGCGGCGTGGGATTCGCGCTGATCAAAGTGCAAAAGCCGCCAAGCCAAAGTTCTGGCCAACAATCAAGCGACTGCGACTGCGAGTGCTGCAGAGTGTGGGCTAACTGTCAAGTGGTGGCCATGGGGCAGCCTCCCACACAACTCCACCCGACCAGCAGCAGCAGCAGCAGCAGCAGCAGCATTAGAATTAGAATTAGAGGCCAGCTGGAGGCAGGCAGCATATATGCAATACCCTTTTTCCTTCAGTTGGGTATTGTCCACACTCATGGCATTTATTTTCCATGTTGCTGCCTTTGACTCTTGACTTTATTCCGTGATTATTTATGCAGCGTGTGCTACCCTTGCCTAGGGTATTATTTCAGTCGAAGTGCGAGCACACAGCCGGACACATGCCCAAAGACAAGGGCGACAACGAGACGTTGGAGGGAACAAGTCCCTCCAAGACAAAACACATTGGGCCATGGCCAATGCGAGTTCTAATTCGTATTCCGATTACGTTTGCAGATCGAAGCCGAGATTCAGAGACACAAAAACCGTAACATGTGCCCGGCTCCTGGAGTCCATTAATCACGTGGCATGGACCGGAGCAACTCTTCGACTCTGTCTCTTGAACTGTGATAATTGCAAAATTCTGACTCCAGTCTACCCCCCAAAATCCTCCACTGCACTCCCCAAATTTAATCCTCTTTCATATATTGTGTGTCTGCCTCAAAAAGAGGCTCAAAATTATATAAATATTTTGCACAAATTGTGAAAACATCTTCAAATTACATTATGCCCCATATATACGGGCAAAGCCCAAACATTTTTGCTGCATGGGGGGGCATGGGGGGCCAGGACAAAATTCGCTTTTACAAAATTGAGTTTGTGTAACTTTTTCAGACGCAGGCTCGACTCAGAGGCAGTCCTGAAAGTCCTGAATGGTTGGGAGGTGGGGGGGGCAGAGAAGAGCATTGGGGAAATGTCACAAAGTATGAGGGAACGGGGAGAACGGGGGGCCGGAGGCTGGGCATCGTTTAATTTGATTGCCGGCTAAAACATACTTACACACACACACACACACACACACACACATTTATTCGTACAGTGTATTTGTGCATACACTTTGATTAACATAATCCCCAAATATACACGCCACACGCCACACGCAACTGCTGGGGGCGGGGGCAGTGCAGGGAGAGTTTTTATAATTAATCTAAAATAACTTTCGATGGGAGCAAAGGCAATGGCAATATGCCGCCAGCCAGCTTAAAGACCGGACTAATACACTGAGCGAAAAAAAGCAGCGACACGAAAATTGTTGCCCAGTTCCTTTTGAATTTGATGAGTCTTTCATTTGCATGCATTTCTTTTGTGTTACTAATTTTGATTTAATTTTGGCATATTCTTGTGCTCCTTTTGGTATTTTCCCACACAATTTGAAGGGTGCCAAAGGATCCTCCTTATCCAACAGATAGTTTGTATGGATTTCATTTTAAGCCACAAAATATGCAACAGATGAATGATTTTTGGCATGTATTTCGAGTGCACAGAATGAAACGAAGAATATATTATATTATTGGGCAATAACTCTCTGTGGCACAGCCCACAGATCCTTTCTCCCTTTGCCTTGGGCAAGATCACCCCTTTCAGTTACTCCCTAAGTTGAGTGGCAAACTCTTTTGGCAGCGTAGAATATTGTAGAATATTTAATATTGCACTTGGAGGCCCACTGATGGGGGAAGACTACGCATCGCACAGACTCGCATATCATTCACACACTACGTGAGAGATTCTATTAAGTGTTTGCCCCAAATACCGATCCCACTCAACTCAATCCTCGCTGCATAGATTTTTCGTTTCTTTTTTGTTTGGGGATTTTGTTACGACACATCACGTATACGCACTGCAGTCCGTACTCCACGTACTCCACGTACTCCACGCACTCAACACTGCCACGGCCCTCTGTGTGTGTGTGTGTTGATGCTCATTAATTATCATCTTGCAAGTGTGTGTGTGTGTGCAACAGTTAGCGGAAACCACATGGCACGCAAAAGATATCCACCGCTGCTGCTTCCACCACTCCTTTTTTGCATAATGGAAAATGATTTTGCGAGCCGACAAAATATTAATCATACGCCAATACGCGAGAGGCAGCGAACAGGCCCGCGGGGGAGTCGCATCGCATCGCCGTTCCAACTTTGCCAACATCTTTCAGTCTTCGGTCTGCAGTCTTCAGTCTTCCATCTCTCGCGAGATTCTCTCTCATGCAATAGTTTTCGTGCGATTTTTTGCATAACAATTGCCTTTGCTTTGCTGCCTCTATTGGTCCATCAGTCAGTCAGTCAGCCAGTCAGCCAGCCAGTCATTTGGTTAGTCATTCAGCCAATTCATTCCGTTCGATGCCATTTCATTTGGTCTCGCATTTCTGCCAATTGCTGCGAGTGATTAATGAGCCACTCATTAATGCCGAGTACCGAATGCCGAATGCCGTCTGACGACTGACGACTGACGCGACTGGCGAATGCAGAACAACAGACGAGAGATATCTGTGAATGCCGATTGCCGATTGCCGAATGCTAATGCTCTCCTCCCTCCTACCCAGCACACACTTAAATCATACAAATTATATACCCCGAGTACTCTGTACATACGTTCTTTATTGTTTTGCCAACTCATTTGACGCCCACAGGTCCGTGGTGGCACACACACGAGAGACCCACAGAGAGCCAAGCCAAAAGCCATAGACATTGCCAAAGCTGCCGCCAAAGACAACGCCAGAGACAAAGACAACGCCAGAGACAAAGCCAAAGACAAAGAGAGACACGGATCGTGGATATCTTGCGGGTCTTGCGGGTCCATTGCTAATTGAAATGACAAATACGAAAAGCCCCATGGAGGAGTTAGAGCACACAGCTAGAAAATTGTATACCCTTTTGGTGTAAACGAATTGTTCCTCCCAGACTCACAAAGCAGAGTCTGAGAACAATACAACAATATTCCAGGGAAAGATCTATTAAAGAATAGAGCAGGCAAGGGGGCAGGGGGGGCAAGGGGGCAGCTGTACCTGTAGTACTCAAAGTTCAAAGGTTTTCGCATCCGCAAAATAATAATTAAGCGACAATCAGCTGCAGAACTTGCGGCCCAATTAAGACTCAGGCTCAGCAGTAGCAAGGGGATACGCCTCTTGATCGTTCGCCCTCCGACATGCCACACTCTGAATGCTCTTCGTTTGCGGCCACAGACAGTTGCATGCCACACACATACACAGAGCTGTGGCAGCCATCGACAGACAATTGGCTCATAAATATTTCACTCAAACAAGTTCCGCTGGGATGCCAAAAAAAAAAACAAGAACAAAAAACGCGAAGCGAGAGACAAAATGTAAAATAATTTTGTGTGCCACTTGCCACTTCCACAGCCAACCCCCCACCATCTATGTCAGGCACTGATACGGAACCCACAAATACATTTTAGAGATTCATTCCTTGGCAGGGTTCTCTGTCTTCCTTCGGTTGCCGAAAATTAACTAAAAGTTGGGATTGGAATTGCGCAATGCTCCCCCTGTACCCTCCTCCCCCCCTACACACTGTACCCTGTAGCCATCCTTCATCTCTCACACGTGGCGTGTCTGTCACCCTAATAAGTGTGGAAATTGCTTTCTATTTGCAATTTTGATGCCACACAAACCCAAAGCTCGAGGTGGCTGGCTAAGGAGCTGCCAGCAAGAGGTGTCCTGGCGTCAAAGTCAAAGTCAAGCGCGTGCCTTTTGTCATAAACTAATTATTATAATGTAAATCACACACGTAGCAGCAGCAGCAGCAGCAACGGCAGTAAATTCCTGCAGGGAAAAGTGTGTGGCTGTGTGGCATATCCTGCTGCATATTCATGAATGCCGCATACACACCAGCAGCAGCACCAGCCGCAGCAGCAGCAGCAGCAGCAGCACATTGACAGTAAAGGGGACATAGAATAAGTCAACAGACTTCAGACAGCAGAGGCAAAAAGGCAATCAAATCGGGAATCAAGTCACTTTGCAATGAGCTTTACTTATTCACAGAGCCAGCCATGTACGGAGTATTCATCCATCGCGTATCGCAGTCTATTTCGAGTGCAATAAGTGCGACTATCTCAAGCAAAAGATGACACTTTGACACCTCTTTGGGTTTCAGGGTTTCGAGTGATTCGAGTGAGCGACAAATACATAATTCAAACACGAAACGTTTCGATTAATCGAACAGGATGAAAGTTCCAAAAGGGTGGAAGGCTTCTGCTCTGGGTTTCTTCGTTTTTGAAATGGAAAGAGACAAAGCTGAAGATTATCTATCTCTGCATTATGCTCTCTTTTTCTCTTGCTTTCTGCGAGTGCCTCTGCATTTTTCTTACTCCCATTGCATTGCGTGTCAAAGTGAAAAACTGTGCCACAGAGAAAATAGAATTTGGGGGAATGGGAATGAGAGTCTCGTGGCGATTCGAGTCACAAATTAATGATATCAAAATTATGCACAAAAAAAAGAGTTAGACACCAGAGATAGAGAAAGAGCAAGAGCAAGAGAGAGAGAGAGAGAGAGAGAGATTTTATCGAGTGCCTCTGCTGCAGCTGCAGTGATAAACTTTTGCAACTTTACGACTTCATTAATAAAATTGAAAACTGTTCGGCCTGTTAACGGTGATCATCGGTGGCCACAGAGTCAGAGAGTGGAAGAGGGACAGAGTGAGAGAGTGGTTTGCTGGGGTGCTGGGGTGCTGGGGTGCTGGGGTGGTGGGGGCCAAGCAATTAAATT